CAGCATTAATACGAGGCGCGTCCTCAAAGTAAGTTTCCCGATAACGCTCGGCCGCACACGGCTCGACGGACAGCAAGTCTCCTGCAGGAGTTCAGCTGGGAGGTGTTTGATCATTCACCCTACAGCCCGGACCTCGTTCCCAGTGATTTCCATCTTTTCCTACACTTCAAGAAATTCCTGTCCGGTCAGCGTCAGCGTTTTGAGAATGACAGAGAGGCGGAGATGGTTGTCACACAGTGGTTCCAATCCCCGGCGGCAGACTTCTACGACACAGGTATTCCAAAGTTGGTCCCACGGTATGACAAATGTCTCAATTCCGGTGGCGAATATGTTGAAAAATAGCTGGACACTTGCTGTATCTGTTGCAATAAATATTTCCATGAAATTGTGTTTTGTTTCTGTAAACGGCCCCAGGGAAACTTACTTTGTGGACGAGCCTCGTATTATTTCAAGACCATGTGACGTTTCTCTGCTGTTTATCAAGAAATTCTCATGTCCCTACCAATTTATGAAAAACCCTCAACACCAATCCCATATTTTCCCATTTATTATTCACTTTAAGCTCCGTAAACACAAACTTAACACTCATTTGTAGATATTTCGTATTTTTCTACGTAAATCGTTTATTATAAAGTTTACCTTTTCAGAAATTATGTCAATAAAATACCTATGAAGAAGCGGATGCAGGAATTTCGATAAGTATAAACAGAAGAAAATGATATCGAAGTTATTACAATAATCGATCCCTACAAGGCTTGTATGAATGAAGCTTCTAGACTTTACAGAATTTCTGCTCACAATATTTGATATGGAAAAGAAACGTAGATCCTAACCACATATCCTTCAGATCCGCAGGTACTAATCATGACTTGTTTGATTACATCGTTTTATATTTACGTAGCATTTAATACATAAAACAGCATAGTCTGTAAACATACATTATGAAAAACTTTCCTCTGAAGTAGCAAAAATGGATAATAAAATTAACTTCCTTGTCCATGCCCCTCTCAACCAAATGACTGCTGTATTCGAAACAAAAATTATGAATCTCCTAAATCACATTATTTCACTCAAATTTTACTCTAAATTAATTTTGAATAGGCTATCTACAAAATGTACGCTTAATATACACGCTGCGGTGTCATGTACGTCATCATGTTCAACATAGCTTCATGATTTTGCCACTACGGACAGCGTAAACCTCAACGAGTAGTTTGACATCACATAGAGTACATTGTCACGAATTTTAGTAAATAATTATAATTAAAACTCAGAAGTACTTTTGAGCATGCCATATCTTTGCTTGCGTATAACTAAGCACATAACTTGACACTTCTTAAAAATTCAGCACCCGCTGTTCGTATCTTACTAATATTTCTTATCTCCTTAAACCAAGTTTTACTTTCGCATGAATGTGTGGTAATTTTCATTAATCTACTTCGTCTCTGTGGCTGGCTATCTTTTTTTTAAACAAATTCACATCAAGACGACAGTGATAACTAACACGATTTTCAGTACAGCACACATCGACAAACAAAACCACCAGCGTCAATTTCCGGTCAAAATGTTATTTCACTTACAGCAATGTGTCCAGAAATAACTCTTTTTATTCATTTCATACCACAGACTAATAGGAACTGTCCAAACATCTGTCGAACGCAGAATCAACATGGTACTACGTATACTTAAAAACGCTGTATTTTTGTTACCATTCTTTATGCTTTTCAGGTCTGATTCAGTAATTTTCTTTATGTACGTATATACAGAGTGTTCCACAAGGTCAAGGCCATAGAAGACCTCGGATATACGGCTAATTACACGTAACTCTCGGTTTACGAACAAGTCCCGTTCCAAGACGTTGTTCGTTATACGTTTTGGTTCGTTATGTGTATCTTGCATTCCTGAGCTTTTACGATACGTATCGTATACATTAGCAGTCATTTTAAAGCATTAAAACCATGTGCTAAACATCGAATGGTCTATACAATACGTTTTATTACAATGTATGTATGCGTTATGCGAGAAAACATTCTACTGGCAAGATTAGTTTTATTAACCAAGAACAGTTCATTATAATTATAATATAATAATTTTCTGATAATTAATGTGATACATACATTTTTTAAAAGTTTATTTATATAAATCTTACAATTATGTTCACTATACGTTTGGCATTTCTTTTTATAAGGAACTCTATCTATTGGTGACTTTAAGAAATGTTGAATGAATTGTGACGTTCGTTATAGCGAATGTTCGTAAATCAAACGTTCGTAAACCGAGAGTTGCCTGTATATAAAATGTAAAGAGAGAGAAATTGTTGCAAATCTTGTGTTTCGTAACTCAAGTTATGGACAGTTTTACCTAGGACGAACTGTTAGGGTTACGCTATCAGAAATAAAAGTCGCAGAGTTGTTACCACGTTGACATGACAGCGAAGGAGGGATATGTTTCTATTGATTCCTGTAGAAAATGTGTCCCCTTTACTACAACCGCAGTATACTACTTTTGGCCGACATGCTAACGTGGTAACATCACCGTAACTTTTTATTATTAATAATATAAAGAGTCTAGCTTGCCCTGAATAAAAATTCCAACACTAGAGAATGAAAACACATCATTTCCAACAACTTCCCTCTTTACATTTACCCGAATTCTGCCGAGCACCAAACTTTTCCTATGGCGGTAGACTCATGGGACACTCTGTGTATGATAATGTTTATAATGAACATTCTGTGAAAACAGACATAATGTAAACAAATGGACGGAATAGAAAAAAATTACTAGAATTTCAAAATGGTTCTCACACAAGGTACAAAGTACGAAATTATCACAGCCAAGTAATCTACTTAACCTATTTTGAAGCGAGCTCTGGGAATACTTGAAAATGACAAGAGTACAGCACCTAGGGAATTGTGTTCTCAACCGTATCCAGTGTTTTTATGTCTTGTTACGACACGTATGTGAATCTATATATTTATGCACGTGTCTAACAAATGAAAGCTGCCTTAACGCTCAACACATCACCACAAAAATAATAACGCGCTAAATTTTTAAGTAAATATCTCCCTTATAACACTGGGTAACAAAATGTTACAAGACCCTGCTAGAAAATTTAATACTTGCTCAGATACTCAATAAAGTTGACTAATTAAAAGTTATGAAAAGTTCATAATTGTGTTCACAAAAACATATTTGTTGGATCAAACCGGCTTTATTTGGCTAAAAACGTCACCTACATTTTTAATCGCGAAAAAATACTCAAAAATGTAACGCTAGAAAATTTAATTTTCACTATAAATTTCTTTTAACGAGATACGAAAATACAGTTGAAATATTTCAACACGAGTTTTGTTTCACCACTTATTCTAACATTTATCAGTGCTTAATTGACATTTACATTCTACACAATACTACCAGGTGATTCAAAAAGGACTTCACAACTTTGAAAGTGTATAGAAATATATTCAGAAGGCTTACAGAATCGGTTGAGGTGTCATTTTATAGCAAAACAAATCAAGTTTGACTCACGTTGTGTTGTAGTACCGAATTCCGTCACCGCGAGCGCAAGCGGCAGTGCATTTGAAAATGGCTCAAAAATTTTCTCAGTTGCAGAAGTGACATCGGATATGCTGGATCGTGTTTGGCAAGAAATTGATTTCAGGTGGGATGTCTGCAGTATCACCAATGGCAATCAAATCGAACCAAATGACTATTTGAGATAAAACTTGATTTGTTGTGCTACAAAATGACACCTCAACTGATTCTGTGAGCCTTCTGAATAAATGTCTATACACTTTCAAAGTTGTAAAGTCCTTTTTGAATCACCCTGTATTGTAATAAAGCAGAATGAGCTGGAACGTTTTATGTACATTTTGTTCCCATTATTGTAACAAACGTAATTTTAAGACGTATAAACAACCAACAAAAATTCATATTAAATACATCTTTAACCATAACAAAATTAATGTTTATGCCAATAAGCCTACAGGTTTTATCAGATATCTTCATAAATTTAAAAATAAATGTTTTGTTGAGCGGAAAATAGCAAAAGATAACTTTCCAAAATCGAATTATCGCTACATTGAACATCGCAGTTGAATATATTCCTTTGTATTCGAGATATTCTCATTCGATTCTCGACCAGAAGCTGGTTATTCTAAAGACTGAGAAGTACCGTCAACTTGGCCAAGACAACTTTCTTTTTCAACCTACCCAATTCATCATTCACATTCGTGCTTCCATTTGGCAAATGCAGGCCAGATTAATAAACGAAAAAACATTTTGTAGACTGTAACCAGTTTCTAGGTGGTAGGTAGTGGAATGGTAATGCATGTCGGTTTTCGTCATACTTTGGCAGCACTGTATGTAATACCAGAACTTGTTGCATATATTATGAAACCAAAATTCAGAGTTGAAAGGTCAAAGTTCCGACCGCTCTATTCAATGCAGAGGGTAATCCATCACTTCTGGCCGGGTTGTACACAACACATCGATAACTCGTCCGATTGTTACACGCGCGTCAATGCTGCAACATCCACCCTGTTCGGCGGAGTTTCAGTGCTACCAACCGTAAATACATATGACAACAGGTTTTTAAATTTCATATCTTTTACTACATACGTTTTCGGGGTATTCTGGCAATTACTGGGCAGTTATTTCTGCTCAGTGTATTTAATAACAGGGTGTCTAGGCGTATTCGTATGTTCGGTGAACTATGACAGCGGTATTCAACCTTTCTTGTTCGCGTACCCTCAAATATAATATCTCTTCAACTTTGTACCCCCAAAGTTGTTGGTGTATAATTCAAGTTATACATAGTATATAATCTACATCTAAAATAAATTAAATAAATTACATCCAGTGTTTTTCATAAAATATTTTTTTTAAATTTTACGTACCCTGTAAGATGTCTTCGCGTAACCCAGGTTGAATACCACTGAACTATGAGACGTGTAAAGAAAACTTTATGCTGTATTATAAGTTAACACCAAAGCACTTACCAGAGTGGCTGAGTAAAGTCAGAGAACATTATTAAGAACCGTCGGTTCCCGGTGTGGTTACGGACTCCGAACATGTCCACAAAAGAGTCGATTTGTGGAATCTGGGAACCTGAAATTGTCACAGAAAACAATGTTGAAGGTTATCCAAAGTAACAGATCGCAGTACACTTGAAGTGAAATGTACTACCAATTTAAAGTATCGGATATGTTACAATTTCAAATTAAAATAAATTAAATAGGAAATAATTAGAATAAAATAATTTTGAAGTGACGTAACATGAATGTATTCAGTGACAGTAAGTTGTGGCTAGGTGAGATTTCAGGTTCTCACGACGATGAGTGTCATAAAGATGCCTGTCTTATGGGATGTTACACCGTGTAGTCTGGTATAAATTTACTGACCTCTGTGAGAAAGACGATTGTAACACAATAGGTTTTATTTTCCCACCGATCATCTTAAGACGGATTTCGAGACCAATTTCCGAAACGTCTTGCTTTATTTAATAAAGAAGGCACCAGACAATGGATAAAGTCTTGCAAATAAACACACACACTATTTATTATAAGGGCTACTCAAATTCTTAGATACTTATTGCACATATTTCCGTATTGTTCTTGCTATGAGTCAAAACATTAAAAGTTGTTGCCATTAAATGAGAAAAAGATACAAAATAACTTGTATATCTGAATTAAACTGTGGTTGAAAAAACTTCAATGTTCATAATAGTACAGGCGTGTAACAGTTGAGATAAGTAGGGTCGCGCGTTCAACTCTCTCTTGGGGCGGTGATTTTTTATTTGTAATTTTACGTGTTCTGCAACACAATTATAAGGCAGATTCAATAAACAAAGTTGAAAGACTTAAATACCGTCAGTGGTTAGGGCTAACATTATCTATCAGTCCTCATTAAGTATAAAGGTCTATATTCTTACCTGAAGACGGAGACAGGTCGAGACTTCGAAATGCAGCTAACTTTAGAATTTGAATACTTATATTTTTAAATAACAGATGATGGAAAATGTCCTATGAAATAAACTTAATAGTATTAGTGCATTATTTTCAACAAACTTTAGAACGATGTTTTATCTTTTCCTGTTTTAGTGAGAAATTCTTGATGTAGAATCACCCATAATATGATACACAGAATTCTATCTAAAGTCAGAAGCCTCAGATCACACAAATTCACGGTTCCTTCTATGACAAGAGAAATCCCTGCGCTCGGCAGCGTAAATTAGACTGAATCTTGTTTTCGGTATAATATTTGAGCTTTCTGAGACTCAAACTCACTTCCTGCCGTTTCAGACTCGTGTTGCATCTGCCGCTCGCTGTTCCAAGACGAGGAATAAAGAGGGTTTTATTAAAGGATTCGCTTTCAGAATGAAAACCCTCGAGCAATGCTAAATCGGATTACTCGTATCTCTTATTTCAATTAGAGAAACGTCAGTCCTGTTCTTGCCTCTACTCTTCGTCTTCTCGATTTTAATTCTACTCGTAGACACACAGCCATTCCTCCCCCCTCTCCTTCATGTACTCCTCCTTCTCACAGCCTATTTGGAATATGCTGTTTCTATACATGTAGTCACAAACACAAATTTAGACCAAGAGTACAAGTCTCCGACTTGTGGCATTGCCATTCGCGGAAATTAAAGTCTCCTTATGTAACCAAAGGAGGAATTTCGATATTTAGGATCTACTATTCGGAAAAGAATGTTTTCTTAGAGCCCAACAACAAAGGATTCTTCCTCTAGCCTGTGCGTCAACACCAGTTCTGGGGCCCCAATGGGTCCTTTCTCGGCTGCAAAGCGTAGCCTTGGAGTACGCTAACCACTCACCATCATCTAATGCCGAGGTAAAGGAAGTGTAGGAGCTATACTACCTCTTCCCTCAAGTGTCTTCATGGCGTGTAGAGGGGCGGTTTTACTTTTAAGGGTGTTTGTGGATAGGGTGCTGAAGAGAAATTTGGACACAGAAGGCAGGAAGTAACAAGAGGCTGAAGGAAATTTTACGAATTGAAGGTTCGTAATTTTACTCTCCAATAAATATTATTAGGGTAATAAAATCAAGAAAGGTGAAGTGACTGGGCATGTACTAAGCATGTCAAAAATGAGAAGTTCGTTAGGAATTGTGGTCGTAAAAATTTTATGTATACGTGTACTGTCGTGAAATAACAAAGTCATTATTAAATATATAAAACATAACGCCAAGAAACTGAGACGTTTCCAAAGATAACCGGAACTTAATAGTACTAAAGGTATGTTCGATGGTTATGCAGCTAGGATAGCGAACCGCGGTAATTGAAGTTACCATACATTTTGGGCCTAAATGATAGTTTTTACATATGATTTTTTGAGTTGCTCTTTTGGGTCGCGTCACGGAATTACAATCCAGAAAAACAACACTATCATTTTCACAGCTGCGAAAACTGAAATCTCACATATTTTACTACTTCTACAGATTTTTATGAAACTCGGTACACCGCAGTTCTGCCTTCCACTATGATTACCTTTCCGATTAGTTTCACTTTCAAAATTAGCTGAAGACCAAAGACCATTTTGGGCTTTCTTACTACCTGGAACAACATGACTTAGATAAAAACAAATAAGCATAATTTGTATGATGCAATATTTACACAAAAGTAAGTGGTTTAATTAAAATTACTAGTTTAATAAAGATGTATAAACATCAGTGAAGCAACATACACCGTTATCTCATAACAGTTCAGGTTAATTATTATTGTTTATTAAAGAATAAGAATTTTACTTTATCCTGAAGATATGATAGATCGTTTCTTCAAATACATAGCAGCACCGAAGTGGTTAATATCACATTGGACCTTATGTAAACTGATTGAAATGAATGTAATAATTTAACTGACAATGTAGTCTGGTGACTGGAATTTGTATTTGGGTGAGAATCGTCTGAACCCAAAATAAAAGTCAGACAACGAAATTACCTTCGAATATTTAAGATAAACCGCAGATACAACCGACAAGCCTTTATGTGGTTTTCCAATTTCAAATCAATCTGTTTAATACTATGTGATCAATAGGTATCTAACCGAACGTACAAAAGGCAATGTGTGCATTAGCGTTTAAAATATGTCTATTAAGGTCGTGATTTTATCTCCGCGTAGAAGTGTAAATGAAGCGCTTTTATTACCTTACTGCAGAAGGAAAAATATATCTATAAGACTTGGTAACACTGTACAAAATTTGGGATACTTGCTTCAACTCTTTGCACTGCATTTAAGCCCCAAGTTCCCCGTTAATATAGACAGCTAAAGCGTAAAGAGAAATTCAATATTGTTTTTACTAAATTCATCGCTGAGTATATTAAAATAAAGCCACGACGTTTCGGGAGCTAGTTCATCCTCGTCTTGAGATGATAAAATTACTCTTTTCGGTCGTCTAGATCAGGGTTTCTCAGCCTTTTTGCCCTTGCGGAACCCTTGAAATAATATTCATGTCTCAGGGAACCCCTACATAAAAATTATTATATATCATTATTGATATCTTTCTTTCTTTTTTATAAACTTAAAGTTCATAAGGAAAACTTAATATTTTTTTCTGATAGCTGGTTTACGCAAAAAATTACTTACGTTTTTCTCAAGTTTATTGACAATACAAAAAAAAA